TAGTTCGTTGCTCATGAAGGTGTACTTTAGGGTGTCTTTGGTACTTAAGATGATAAAGAGGATAGACTAAGACAAGATAAGAAAGTGGATTGGATTAGATGGTTTTATCCAATGTTTTGTTGGTGTATGCAAGAATAAAGGTCAGATATAACAATTTGTATCATATGCCATGTTTGGTTTAATATGGGTAGGTTTAAGTTAAGATGATATTTTCTTGCAATTGATCAAAATTATACCATTAGCCATATCACTATATCCTAAAGACAAGTTTTAGATAAATATCTACCTTTTAGGGTGCAATAGGAAATATTGAAGCAATAGTTATTGGTTGATATCCATCCCAGTATCTCATGGGTTTTAAACAATCTTAACCTTGTCAACAAGATCAAGTAATATTCTAGGAGGATTCGTCATACAATTTCCTATGCTGTTCTCCTTTGCAAGTAAATCCCAAACATATGATGATTTTTATACTATCCTCTCTATCGCTATTATCTTGTGTGCCAAATACACCTTTAGTTCATGAGAGGGGAAGTAACGAGGGGAAAGTTAATAACTAATTGCCTTTTGGAAATAGAAATGTCTCTTATGAAATATTTGGCATCATGCATCGCAGTATTAGACTTTCCCAAGAACTTTACTGCTATTTTTGTTTCATGCAGATCATATTCAGTTTCTTTATCTTGATACTTTTGTTTGGCCTTTTTTTCCTTTTGTTTTTCTTGTCCCCATTTTGCAGGATTGATGTTTCCTGATGATTGTTCATGCAAATACTGTTCTGAAGTGTGGGATTTTTGGACTTTCGAACTTCTACGATCAAGAACAACAGTTTTCCATTACACCAAGACAGATATTCTCTTGTTTAGCAATCTCCCTTCACAATCAAGGTCTCACTAGAGACAGTAGGCTTCAAGCTAGAACAAAATCAGGATCAAAGTTACATCAATGCTGTACTTTATATGGTAAAAAACAATTCATTGATAAACTTTTGCATTTCAAAATTTTTTGTTTTAATTTAAGAGAAGTAAGATATGATGCTTGATAGTTAAGGCCAGATGTTAGCTTTTGAAATCTGGATGATCTACTTCAATTTCTCCAATTTTTTTAATTTAACATGGCATGGGTTCAGATTTGAGGGTAAATTATTAAACTTTCAAGTTTATCATGGTGTTTTTTAGGATTTATGGTGCTCCTGGAATTCATATTGCGTATCCAAATTTAAGGATTCATTTGAAAGTTTTTGTATAACTTCATAATTTGATTTCATAGGCTGTTGACGTAGATAGACTGTCTTAGCGAAACCTGTTTTAACACAATGGATGAAGCTTTGGAAACTTAAAATTCATTTGATAATTCTGTATAGCTTCATGACTTGATTGCATAATATATGGTCATAAACTTCACAGTTTATATGAAACAGAATAAATGAGTGGAAGTTCATTTTCTTTTTTGGAAAGGTTAGTGGAAGTTCATTACATACTGGAATATGATACAATCTGTGTTTCAGGGGACACAGCTTTTCAGTGGTGAAATGCATGTTGACATGGGCTGAAACAAACATCTATGTCACCAAGTGTTCGTATAGTACAGTTGATTTGTAGCCTTTGTCAGACCAAAGATATATGACTTCAAATCTGACCGCATCAAACCAGTGCAGGGGTAGTTGATAAAGTCTAAAAAGGCATCTAATTAAGGATGACTGCTAAAAGAAAAAGTACAAAACTGTCAATGAAAAGCAATGTGGGAAGATGATTCAAATTGAAAAATTAAATTGTTAAGGGGCTAATTATCAGTTTGGTACATTTTATGAAGTCAAGTGTG